CCCCCCCAGCATGCATAGCAGGGTTGGGGTGATAGGTTCTCCACCTACTTAATGCCAGGTTCCCCTTCCACTCCCTCTAACCGCATCTCCTCACCTGAGCTCCCCAGCCCTTCTCTTCCCCTACACTCATCCATCTTCCTCCCCTCACTGCAAACCCAAACCTCTCTCACCTCCACTTCTCCACCCACAGTTCCCTCTCCCAGCAAGCATTCACATGTCTATTTTTTTCTAAAAATATACTCTGGGGGGTGGTATTTTGGGAAATGCAATCAGACAGATTTTAGCAATATACATTCAGATTTCTCCAAACATCAGCCTGAGATGAGACTTGAACTGACACTGGTTGGGTGGGTCAAGTTCAAATAACTACTGCTTATCCAGCTACAGTGAAGGTTAAGTCTACAAACTCTGTAGATGTGTCTCTCCACATCCTCAGTGTAATCTGTTTAGTTTGTGTGCCTTAAGAACATTGGGCCTTTGCCTATCTAGAGAGCTAAACTCTTTCTTGCATTTCATTTTCAGTGTTGCTCCCCCAAAGAGGTTCACGTGCCATACACAGGCTGGGGTAAATGTTGATAGATTGAAGACCATTTGGGCCACATTCAGAACCATGGTTTGATCCCCAGGTCTTGGCACTCAATCAGTAAGGTTAACAGATTCTACCAACATTTAAGAAAAGCTGGGGGTTTTTTTTCCAGGGGGCTTTATTTCAAGAACCCTTTCGTCGACCCCAAACTTGTATCACTAACCCTAGCCAGCACCTCCCAAGAGGCACACCAAAGTTCTAGGCAATCTGAGTAACCATGCTGATTTTAGAGCACTTAGAGTCAAGCTTTAAATAGAAAGCTAGTCTTAACTTTATTATAGTAGACCTGGTGGTCCAATATGACAGCACTAATGAAAGACTCCTAAGGAGAGGAATTGGAGGTATGAGGGAGTCAAAGTCCCCTTAGCACTCACTGAATTAGAGTGGGAAGGATTAAAGCATACTTTGAAGATTGGGGTACTTAAGAATTTGCCAGCTAATATGATGGTTGGAAATGACACATCACTGCCCAAAGCTGTTAATACTGTAACCTGTAGCCAGAGGGAGCATGTCGCTAGGTAACCAGAGGTGAGCTCTGAGGAGCAGGAGGCAAGGGAAGGGGGAAAGGAGTCCTCTGCCCCCTTATCAGCAGAAAATAGCAATGTCCATCCAGGAGAGGGGGAGGAGTTGTCAAACAGAGCTCGCAAGGGAGGAGAGGCTCCCCCAGATCAAATGCGCACACTCAGCAGGGAAGAATGTTGGGCTGACAGGCCCCCCTGGTACAAGCCACCAGGTTCCTCTTCCCAATGTCAGTCCACTTCCATTAGCCCCAACATGAGCTCCCCAACCCCTCTCTTTCCCTACAGTCTCCTGGCTACAGCCCCAAACCTCTGTCACCAAAATGCCCTGACAGGGCCACTATACCAGTGGTAATTAAGGCTATGTCTACACTAGTACTTTTGTCGGGGTTGTGACCTGACCCCTGCCCCTCCCAGACTGACATAAGTGTCACCGACTGAATCACCGTTGTGGACAGTGCTAGAGATGAGTTTTAGGAGAGCTCTAGGAAAGAATAAGTGCTTACGGGCTGCAGGAGCTTCGTTCCCGGGTATAACCGATGGAGGTGCCATAGGAGCTGGAAGACAGAGAAGATCGGGGTGAGGATTTAAAGCACCTTGCAGGAAAGGGAAGTGCTGCAGACTCTCCCAATTGCCACAAGGCTTCTTCCAGGAGTGTCCATACAGCAGGCAGCTATTCTCAATACAGTGCAGCCCCTCAACTGATCACTGCTCTTAGCCACACACCCACAGGGAGCCTTGGAAATGCACGACATTCTGCCCCATCCCAGGGGTGGGAGTTTGGTGCAGCTGGTGATGTCATTTGCTAGCACATGCTCCATCAAAGCCTTCATACCCACTGCTAATCTGTGGCATTCACGGCTCTTTGTGTGCAAAGTGTCTCACAATCACTAACCTGCCACATGAAGTTAGGGCTCTAGCAGCGTGGAGAACTGAAAAATGAGAAACCACCTCCCCAGGAAATCAGCTCACGCGCTGGTGCACAAATAGCACCCACCCATCTCCACCCATCCATGGCCAGTGACCCTAGAGTCACTTGGAGTCATCTAGGGGATCAATGTGGAACTTACCCCTCGCTGTCAGGTTGATGAGAGCCACACATTTCTCAGACAGGTATAAGGTAACCATATAGACTCCTTGTAACTCTCTGCTCACGTTCATCACTGTGAACTGCTCCTGGGATACAGTGAGCTGATCTGTGAAGGGACGTTTCCCAGAATGAGACTTTCCATTATAGATAAGAACTAATTCCCAGGTGGAAATGGAGGAGTTCCATTTGTACACGTCCATCATCTTTGATGTGTTCAATGGAATAACCACAGTGTCTCCTTCAGACACTGCCCTGGAGATATTGCGACAGTCTTTGAGATCTAGAGAAGACCAGAATAGATTTAGTTTGGTTCAGGGAGGCCTGGTCATGTCAGACACTAAAAAGGGGTGGCAGCAGGTAGTGTTCAGGGAACCCCAGACCACACACCGTGTTCTTGGACATAGCTATTCCTTCTGCCTTCCTCCCTCGCCCTCAAGCTCTACCACCCTGGGCCTTTCTGTCCCTTGGAGGCAGCTCTCAATATGGACCCCATGTCACTTTTCTTCTTGTGAGTGTATGAGGCTGTTGAGCAGACTAGCAAAGAGACATGGGTTGTGGTTTCAGTCGATCACCCATAGCCTTATATCTTAAATCCAACCAGAACAGTCAATTGTACTGGTCATTGTTTCGACAACACTGGAGACAGAGAACTGACTGGCTGTGACTTAAACTGGATGAGACTGAGGTGATGTTGGTTGGGAAAAGCCTCTGGAAAATATGGAAGTAGTGAGGGTGTCCAGGTCGGTGTGCATTTGATGCTTAAGTTTGCCATCTGAGGCAGGGGACATCTTGTCAGACTTCCAGTTCTTGCTGAAGATCAGGTGGCAGGAAGGGTAAAGTTGGCTCTATTGCTGATGTACAGACAGGATTTTACAACTGTTTCTTTGTTATCCTTCATGCCTTTGTCACAGCGAGACTAGATTTCAGAGTAGCAGCCATGTTAGTCTGTATCCGCAAAAAGAAGAACAGGAGTACTTGTGGCACCTTAGAGACTAACAAATTTATTAGAGCATAAGCTTTCGTGGACTACAGCCCACTTCTTCGGATGCATATAGAGTGAAACATATCGAGGAGATATATACACACACATACAGAGAGCATGAACAGGTGGGAGTTGTCTTACCAACTCTGAGAGGCCAATTAAGTAAGAGGAAAAAAAACTTTTGAAGTGATAATCAAGCTAGCCCAGTACAGACAGTTTGATAAGAAGTGTTAGAATACTTACAAGGGGAGATAGATTCAATGTTTGTAATGGCTCAGCCATTCCCAGTCCTTATTCAATCCTAAATTGATTGTGTCTAGTTTGCATATCAATTCCAGCTCAGCAGTCTCTTGTTGGAGTCTGTTTTTGAAGTTTTTCTGTTGTAAGATAGCTACCCGCAGGTCTGTCATAGAATGACCAGACAGGTTAAAGTGTTCTCCCACTGGTTTTTGAGTATTATGATTCCTGATGTCAGATTTGTGTCCATTAATTCTTTTGCAT